GTGTAATATATTTTTAAAATTTTAGTTTAAAAATTTACAAAACTAAACAGCCTACAGTATTTTTACAGTCTCTATTTTACAGTTAAAATATATGTTTATCAAATAAAGTCTAATGTTACAACTAATCGGGGATCCCTTAAATACAAACAGCACAATGCTTCACAAGGAGAAATCCTACTCTGGCTCGGATACACAGCAACTGCTGGGCTTAGTGCTGTATGAGTTTACAGTAAAGAGTTAAAGCCATGAAAAGAGCATTCGTGTGCAAAGTCGGCGTCATTCCTGTGACCACCACCAGAGCAGTCATTATATCAGACCTTCAAACACACTCCTCTGACTCCGAGCATGCATGCGAGCGTCAGTCAAACCAGATCTATTTCTGTCTTTTACTATAGACTATAATTATAACATAAGATCTGCTTTTATGAGACTGGTTGACCTCAAGCTATGCAATGGCTTGCTTCAGTAGAAAACCAACACAAACAAAGCGCCCAACACGCTCCGATTGCCTCAGCCTTTTGGTGGTGGTGTAAACACATGGAACCAGATGCTATAATGCTCACGGCATTGTGTCTTGTCAAAAACAACGGGGACGTTTAGTGGATATTATCTTTCAAATGATCACTAATTAGCATTGGAGAAAAATAGGAATTTTTATTKAAGTTTGAGGAACAGTTAAAACTGATGCTATGTTTGCAGGCATTTTTTTTCAAATTGTACCGTTTATGCCAAATTCCATGCAAAAAATAAAAATTTAATAAATGCTCAGAACATTGTCAGGCATTTTGCAAACATACTTTTAATTCTTTGTGCCTTCAAATAAAGGTTATATAATATATTTTAGCACCACGTAACACACAAGAAATAGGGAAGCACTATTTCCCTTTGATTTCCAGAATGAACAAATATTGTGTACGGAGAGGGAGGGTTACTTACTGTGTAAAGTTCAGTCAGAACTTTTAACAGGTCCTCTTGCAACTGTACTCCAACCTCTTTGCTCTGAAAGGACARCGGGGGGAAAAAAAGGCAGTAAAGTAAATAAACAGCACAAACCACTAGGTTACCATAACCTGCGAGAAGAATATCCACCTCTCTGTTCTTCTATCGCTCAGCAAATTCACTTTATAACCACTCAGACATGCAAATACTAAATGCCCCATCCTAAATCTAGACTCTWTTATCCTATAAAGGATGTGGAAAAGTCTCAAATCCAGACAAAACTGCAATAAAGTAATAAGCTAGATGTGTTTATGTGTTTTACAGCAGAGGTAAAAAAAAATCTCTGTAAAATATAATTATAAAAATATGCAAGGGAGGATGGTGAGTATGACTATAATCAAGATGTAAACAGCAGGAGTCACTAGTGACAGATAACAGACACCCAGAGATCAGCTAACGCCACACGTTCAAACACACACTCACAAACAGCCTCGTTCAGAGCTCGGCTCATATTTTTGCATAAATATGTCTGAACTGACCCGAGTTAGTAAAAGGACATCATTCAAAGTGAGTTGCACTGCTGGTGCTAAGAGAAGCATGAATGCCCCTCTGGGCATTTTTATTTGTAAAGCTGAGTATTTGTGTATGTATTGGGTACAATGACATTCTTTTTTTCTGTTGATACATTAGAGCCTGAAAACAAACACTGCATTAATTAAACTGACTAAAAGAAATAAGTTAGTGACGGCGAATAAAAAGGAAATTATTTTAATGACATTAAAAAAAAGGTAAGAATCACCGTCAAGCTTAAAACTAAAAACACTTGTCAGAGAGTTGTGTATCTGGACCGAACTGCTTTCTTGAGCCGGATGAATCAAGTTCCGGCATGTTTATCTAAATTTGAGAGCAGAAAATAAAGTGACACACTGTGTTTTCACCTTTCATTGCTGTAGGCCTCAGAAATAACCCGAAATGTCCAAAGCTTTAGGGACCTAAGGAAGCAGTTTATGAGCCATTAGCTGAAAACTTGTCAAACCAGAAAATGAATTTAAACCTTTTGAATTACTGGTTCTGCATTACACATTCTTTTTAAAAAAAGAATTGTATCTAATTTCATCATAAACAAACAATAAAACACGCCTCAATTACACATCGGATTAATTCTGAGGATCTTGTTGGCGACGTTCAAAAATCAGGGGTCCAATCAGAAAACGAACTGAAAACAACCACTATTTAAAATTAGGCTACTTTAATACATGAACAAAATGCACACATTTTAAAGTTTTGTTTTTGCTGAGTTGAATTCAAATCAAGCAGGTTAAAGACTGCAAGATAAACAAAAGAAAATTAGGTGGGGGAAAAAAGGGGCAAAGAAAATAAAAATGGGCAAGGAATGTGGAATGTAAGCAAAAACAGATTTGCCAGTGCATGTCGAGCATCTGTCTTCCTCTGTGGGAAGGTAAAGATGTGGGGGGAGGGGTCGCTTTGAAGGTTTGTAGGTGAGGTCGTAAAAAAGTTGTAATAAGGAGAGATATGTATGATGAGTACAGGGTGGGTGGAGAGTTTTCTGCAGACAAAAGCTGCTGCAGATGGATGAGAGGGAGAAGTAGCAGGAGAAGTGATGTTGTACCACGCACACTTTTTAAAGTACGTTTAAGAGGTCCGGACTGGGTGACAGAGACCAGACCCCCGGCCAATCAAAGAGCAGCCATGCTTGGTGGAGCCCTCCTACTCGTAAACAGTGGATGTTGACCTTTGGACTCCTCAGTTTGCCTGTGGTCGCCTGGTCTGGATCAACAAGACCACAACACAAACCAGCACCTGGCCCGCTTCATTAGAGCTGAGGTCTGAGCAGCGGTTCGAGATGACACGCTCGTTAACATGATTTGTTTTATTAGTGTTTGCACGGTGACTCCGATGTGATCGTTCACAAACAGAACCGTTCTGCAACACTTCCCACCCTGGAAACAAGTGTGTGATATGAACGAACCGACATGTCTAATATGAGCTGTCTGTGTGTGTGTGTGTGTGTGTGTGTGTGTGTGTGTGTGTGTGTGTGTGTGTGTGTGTTGTAGCCTTTGGCACTAATCGTATTCATGATGCCACTGACTGGAAATGTCATAACTGGACTAATTATACACTTAATTAGCCATCCAAGCATTATGCGGACGTATGTGTGCGCAGCCTGTTTTTGACCACAACAAGACAAATAATGTGTTTTTTTTTAAATAAAAGGAGTACATACAGGCTTAGTAGAATACTGTTTCATATTATAACAATAATGTCTTGTGTTGTGAGATGATGGAGCTGAAGCTATTTGGGTCAAACTTTTAGAAAATTATGAATGATGTCATGCTCAGAGTGTGTGTTGTGAGTGAAGTGCTTAGCCACCACTAGGCTTGTCAAAATAACAAATTTTAACTACTGCGATAAACGATAATATTGTTTGAAGACCACTTTAAATTAACATAAATATACCACCATCCCCAACATGCTTAACGATTACAGAAGTTTATGAAATTTGCTTATGTAAAAAACAGGTTGGACCTGACCTGGGCTGGAGATTGGAAAAATAACACACAACAGCTGCTGAAGCTTTAAAATGATGCTAAAATCAATTTGATGTGGCGACCACCTGATTTCTGTTGTCTCCTAATGTTWATCCGTTTTAGATCTACATCCAATTATTATTTTCTGAGAGTTTTATTAAAATCTATCCAGTGTTTCATGAGATAGTTGCGTGATTTTTTTCTTCTCTCTGCTTCCTTTCA